TAAAAGGAGCCATATTCAAGGCTCTTTCAGGGTTAGGAGAATGAGACCTATCATTGTTACTGGTATTTGGCATATTGGGTACGCCACGGGAAGTTTGACAGACTCTGCCGTGTGGGCAGGTTACATTCGGTAGCCTGCCAGGTTGTCCAAAGTAAGAATGAGATTTAAAAAAAAAAAAAAGATGTCACGTGGCCGCAAATGTGGCCGCACACTTCTGGGAGCTGGGTTTTATAGTCTCTGGGTCTTTGCCATTGATGGGATTACACGGTGCTGGGGGCCAGTTGGTGGGTGTGACCCCTGCCTACCGGAAGATGGAGGATCTGGGTGGAGGATGCTCAGCCCCGATCCGAGCAGGCTTTCCTAAACATACCATCTCATCAGGGAAATTAAATAAAAATGATGATGACATATTACCTAACACCAGTGAGAATGATCTTATATTAAAATGACAAGAAATAACCAGCCTTATTGGGGACAGGGTGAAAAGGGAACCCGCATGCACTATTGGGGGGAATATCGTCTGGTTCAATCTCAACAAAAAACACTGTGGAGGCTTCCCAAAAGATCATCAATGGAATGCAGGAATATGATTCCACTTCTCTGCTTCTACTTCCCAAACGCAAAAATATTAGTCTGGAAAGATCTGTGTGTGCCTAGCTTTATGCAGTGTGGAGCACAACAGCCAAGATCTGGAAATGAAGCAAATGCACCATGACAGAGAGGCACACAACAAAGCTGCGGTCTATATACACAGTAGGGTAACTCTCGGATACAAGATGATAAAATCCTGCCTTTTGCTATAAGTGAAAGGGGCCCATGCTTCAGGCAGAAGGAGGACAAGCTCACTCATAGGTGCACATTATGAAGCAAAGCGAGGGGACAGCCAGTGTCTCATGGTCACAAATTCATGGACTCTGACTATAGACCTGAGGGCAGCAGTGAGAGGTGAACTGGAAGTGGCCAGTACAGCAGCCAGGGCTGGACTGGATGTGACACCAGCACAGCAGTAAAGAGTGGATGGAAAGTGGCACCAACATAATAGCAAAAGGATTCCAGCACTTTGGTGGTGGCGAAAATGCAGTAAATTTATACACAAAATGTACGTGCTATTACAACCCAGGTCATCTCAATCATAACATCTTGTAGTGTTTGGTTTAGCTTGTGGGCTCTTCTCTGCTACTGGACTCCTCTCCCTGTCCTCTGACGGTACCATGCTCTTTTGTCTGAGCTGCTGTTAACACTTATAGAATGTCTCGTTCCCTCTCTGCCCTGGCTCGGTGTTCTTTCTAGCTGCCTGAGTTCCATCTCTGTAATGTCCATGTATATGTCAGGGCTGGAGTCCACCAGAGCAGATAGTGTGTCCTGTTTCTATGTTTTGGGCATTCCAGTAGGTGGTGCTCAGTGCTCACCTCGCCCAAGTAACTCTTGGTCTTCCTTGGAGGAACAGATGCAGTGGCAGGGACCTACCCAGGTGAGTAATATGCAAAGGAAGTACCTGATCCCCACAGTAGCCCTCTGGCCTGGTCCTACCTCTAAAATGCTTCATTAACTCCACTATGGCCCCCAGCTGTCAGGACAGAATTGAGAGAGTTTTGCATTTCCTGCTCCACCCCAGTGGGGCCCTTTATCATCAGGAGCTCAGGTCTGAAAAATCCCTGGATAGCACTTCAGCAAAGCCTGTGTGATTCTATTTCTACCTCCATAAATATTGCATTTATTTTTCTCCCCCTCCCCAAACTCTAAATTCGAGTTTTCTTCTATATTGTCCCCCTGAGACTCAATTCCTGGGGTGCAAATATTGTGACTGGCTGCCATGTTCCCTCTGTAATAGTCTCGGGCACCTGTCATACCCTGGGAAAAGACAGTATTTAACCGCGGCAGGCTGGAAAACAGGCCAGTTCTTGGAAACATGGGTTAAGATGATCAAACAAAGTCTCCCAGGATGGGGAGAATTTTGATGCCTGTTTGTCAACTAGCTGCTATCCCTGGGTGTGGACTGACGCTCTCGTGGTGTGCGCAGCCCTGGACGCTGGATGCTCCGGAATCCACGTGGACAGGGAGTCCTCAGGGCGTCTCTGGATGAGCTCGCCCCTGGCAAGGCTCCTTGATGCCGCCCAAACAGGCTGCCCGTTCCTCAGCAGTGGCTCTGAGAACATGCAATTAGAGCCCAAGCCCCCACCCCTTCCCCAGGCAGCAAGGTGGGGCACCCCACAGAGACTGCATGACATTCCAGAAGCCCAAATTGCCCTTTTCAGCGCCTACAGCAGGGATGAAACCCTGTAATTTCATTTCACTGGCAACCCACAATTTCTCATTTGTTTGTATTTACTCAGTGACCCCTGGGAGGGAAGGCGCAGCGCTGAGCCCCTCAGTGGTCCCCCCCCCCACATTCCCGCTGCTCCTCTCTCTCTCACTTCAGCCTCCGCACCTGACTAGCAGGGAGAAGGGTCCTGTCTGCACTTGCATTTGGGCTAACGCTCGTGCCCAGCTGCCCGTCCCCTCAATCATCCCTCTTCGATGCTCTTTCAGACTCTGCCATTTTCTGAATCTTCATCCCCTGCTACCTGGACTCAAAATAATATCAAGCGCGGGGGGGTCTTTGTGCCCCTCACCCACCCATGCATTCGCCCTCAGCCACTAATGAAGCGTGGAGCGAGCCCCACTCACGCCATGAGAAGGAGGTTGGAAGTCCTGACTGAGGCCCGGCTCCCCGTGGGAACGCACGTGACTCCCAAGCAAGAGCCCGAGGCTCATTCTCAGCACCGTGATCAGAATAAGAAAAAATATAAAGGGATATCAAAGTATCGAAGACAGTCCCAGATTTTGAAACTCAATCTAGCAGAGAGAAAAGCACTAATCCTCTAATTATTATCCACTGTGACAGGTCTGTAGAAGCAGGAATCGCAAGTTATGAGACGTCGGATCAAAGCAGATGAGGTCGGATCTGGAGCCCAGAAAGCCTCCAGCAGAGTTCGAGGAGGATGAGTCCCTAACACCTGGTCCCGCTCACCTGCTCAGCCCGGCTCGGAGAAGCATCAATCAGGGCACATTGTTCTTTCTCTCTCTCAAAAAAATCAACTGCTCGCAGAGATTTGCATCTCTGTATGTATCTCTAACTTCTATCACAGCATCAAGTATTAATTAATCTAGCAAGCTCGCACATTTGACTGACAGACTCATTCAGTCTGCTGAGCGCTACAATGTGGTGACAATGTCATTGTGGGCCAAGAGCCACCGACTCTTGCCTCGCTGGCCACACAGTAGTAAGCGGACAGTCGGCAGAAGCATCGACGCAGGGCCTGGAGGACGGTCGGTGGTGTTAGACAGGCAGACACTGACCACTCACCAGGGACTGACCATGTGTCCAGTGCCCGGAGGACCAATAAAAATGACTGCATGAGCCACAATCTACTTGGTGACAATATTTTATCACAGATGAATTAACCAACACGACCAATGTGGATTGAGTGTGGAGTCGGCCTGGAGCATCAGGAAATGCCACAGGGTGGCAGGGCCTGTTGGCTGAGATGTGCTTAGAGCAGGGGCAGTGAGGGCATGACCCCTCCAGGGGATGTGAGAGGGGGAGCACTGAGCGGAAGCAAGATGGGCACTTGGGAGCCAGCACCAGAATCAGGGCATGGAGGAGGTGAGTACAGGTGTGTGGGGCACAGGTGGTCATGACCTGGCCAGAGTTGCAAGGACACTCACTCACTTCTGCCTGGAGAGAGGCCAGAACCACTCCCCAGCCTGTGACCTGGGCCCCCCGCACACATGCCACACAGCGTTTCTGCACTCAGCTGACAGGCGGTTCCATAGGAGCATCAAGAGATGACCCAGCACAATGCTCATGAAGCCAGCACGTGTCCCAGGGACAATACAGGACGTGGCTTGGGGGCACCTTTCCTGAGAGCTGGTCATCGCAGCCACACTCGAAGTGAGTGCAGTGACCATCGCGTGTCCCTGGTGGGGAGAGGGAGCTGGGCTGGGACGCAGCCGATCCTCCACCTACACACACACACACACACACACACACACACACACACACACACCAGGTCTGCCCAGGGCAGTGGGAGGGAGGGCAGGAAGTGGTCACAGTCTCTGGGTGTCCCATCTGGGAGGGACAGACGGAGGCATCGGGCTTCAGTCACGTGAGTGTCCACTCCAGAAGACTGGGCCCTGCCCACCCTAATCCGGGTCTGTCTTCGTCTCTGAGGGGGTAGGCACTAAAGCAGGGTTGCCTCCTAGACCTCCCATGGCCACACGGGCAGGGTGCACATGGGGGGAGAGACGTCAGGGTCAGACCTGAGACGGCAAAGGTCAGCCTTGCCGGGAGCAGGAACGGCTGGACCCCCGAATGGGCCAACTTCACCCACCGCTCTTGTGGGCTGGGGTTCCCGCCCTGGCTTGCTCGAAGGGAGACTTTTCGGTAGGGAAGGGGGAGCATCTCCAACTCGCACAGCCCAGAAAGGCCAATGCAGACTCCCCAGGGATGGACTGGAGTGGGAAGCAGCAGGCAGTACTTCAGAGCTTCCAGCAGATTCCCAGGTGCAGGCACCCTGAGAACGCCGCCAGGAGGGCTTGTGGGTGAAGCCTTTATGCTTAGCTGGGTTCCCAACGTGGCATTCTGAGCTTCACAGTGGCCCCTGGACTTCACACGGGAAAGGTTGGGGTTGACTTAACTGAGTCCCTGCACGCTAGTATTTCTTGGTTCCTGTGGTCATTCCCCGACTCCTAAACATGACACCAACAGAGTGCAGGAAAGTCCAGCCAGGGGCCAGCGTCGGAGCACACATGGCCGCGGGAGTCACTTGGGCATCTGTGGATGAATGGGAGGACACTGCCTAGGGCTCGGGAGGGCAGGTCCCGCTCGGGGCTACCTGGGGCTCTGTCCCTTGGAGCAGCCAGAGTCCTGCAGTCATCATCCAGCTGTCAAGAAACCACCCCTTTCCACCCATCCACGGTGACAGCCCCCCGCAGATGCTCCCCTCCTGGTTCCTTACCAGGTGCAGCAGGGAGCCCCCGGAGCAGGTGAGGCCATGCGGGTCAGCCCCCGCCGTCAGCAGCCGCAGCACTGCAAGAGAAGAGGAGAAGGGTCAGCGCTCGGCTCTCAGCAGGGCACACTCTCCACACCATCTACTGTCCACTGCGAGCGCAGGGCCAGCCCAGGCCCAGGGCAGCCCTCAGAGGGCAGAGATGCAGGAAGAAGAAGACATCCTGGGTGAGTTTCTCCTGGTCCCCAGGAGAGGACGGGCTGGGAGGAAGGACGGGCGCCTGCCCTCTCCCATCCCCCCGGAAAGGACCCTACACGGGAGCGCATCCCCTCACATGGTCATGTCGCTGACAAGAGGCTCTCTCCATCTGAAGAATAGCTGAAGGCATCTGGGGTGTTTTCATATTTTTCTGCTTCTCTTTTTGGGTCACACCCGGCGATGCACAGGGGTTACTCCTGGCTCTGTACTCAGGAATTACCCCTGACGGTGCTCGGCGGACCATATGGGATGCTGGGAATCCAACCTGGGTCGGCCGCCTGCAAGGCAAATACCCTACCCGCTGTGCTACTGCTCCAGCCCCAAGGTGTTTTCCTATCTTGTCTATGGTCTAAGAGAGGCGACAGGGATGGATCACTGGGAATGGGTGTGGGGTCAGAGGGCAGCGGGGTCACTGGACCTGGGTGTGGGGTCAGAGGGCGGTGGGGTCACTGGACGTGGGCATGGGATCAGCAGGCAACTGGGTCACTGGACGTGGGTGTGAGATTAGGAGTTTGTGCATGAGAAACCCGCATTAACAATAGTGTAAATCTTAGAATCTCAATAAAATGATTTTTAAGTAAATTGAAATTATGAAAGGGAAAAATGGGTTTTCCCCGTGGATGTCTTTCCTGCAGAGATAACTGAGTTCTCCTCCTACACCCACCTTCCTGAGTGGGCAGCTGAAAAACACAGCTCAGGGGGAGCGCAGTGTGGGGGTCCCTGTGACCGGTTTCCTCTCTCAGACTCTCCCACCAGCAGACGGGTCCCTCTTCTCTGCTGCTGAGGGACTCTCTAGGAGGCAAGGCAGATCCTTACCTTCTTCTCCCTCACTGTGTTTCTGGCACCCTCCAATCCGTGATTCAAGCATGCCCAGACACATAACCAGCATCTGAGGATTGCGGGCTTCCTCATGATCGCCTTGAAAAAGTCCTTTCAAATTTAGCAAAGACATCTGCACTCCTATGAGCACTGCAGCACTGGTCACTACATCCAAAGTCTGAAAACAGCCCAAGTGTCCAAGAACCAATGATAGATGAAGAAACAGAGGTGCATCTACACAGTGGAATACTATACAGCTATGAGAAAGATGAAGTCATGCAATTTGCCGCCATGAAGATGGAGCTGGAGAATATCTCACTGAGCAAAGTCCATCGGGCAGAGAGGGACACACAGAACAATCTGCCAGAGGTGGGTTTGAGGAAACAGAGTCAGGGAATGACCAATGTGCCTGAGAGCTGGGCTTCAGAAGGGGGACAGGGGATGAGGGACACTGGGAAATGTTGGGGGAAGTGGGCACCTGGGTAGATGGAGGCAGGGGTGCTGGAACTATTCCTAGAGGGGATCCTACCAGTCACAGTTTGTAAACCACGAAGTCAAACATTAAAAACTTAGAAAACTCAAGGAAGATGACCGCAGGTCAGGACGTGCTTTCTGAGGGGCTCTGGGCCCCACACAGCAGCTGACCACCTTATCTGGCTGGCGAATGTGGCCATTCCTATGGAGTGCCCTCTCATCTAGAGGTGCTGTGTGGTCCTCATGGCCCAGCTCCTGCTCCGTGGGGTCAGCACAGGCAGACTTGGGCGGCTTCTGCTCCAGCCGTGAGGACGTGGGCAAGAGGTTCTGGTCCTCACAGCTGGCTCAGCACAGGCTGGGCTGTATTGGAATGAAAATGCAAGTGACCAGAAGATCCTGAGGTCAGGCAGATCTGGACTGGGGGCCTGGCCCTGCTGGAAAGCTACTTTTTTAAAGCCCCAGTTTATCCACCAATTAAATTCACTGTCACTGTCACTGTCCTCCCATTGTTCATCAATTTGCTCGAGCGGGCCCAGTAATGTCTCCATTGTGACACTTGTTACTGTGTCTGGCATATTGAATAACGTCATGGGTAGCTAGCCAGGCTTTGCTGTGCAGGCGAGATACTCTCAGTAGCTTGCTGGGCTCTCCAAGAGGGGCAGAGGAATCAAACCCAGGTTGGCTAGGTTGGCTGCGTGCAAGGCAAACGCCCTATCCACTGTGCTATTGCTTCAGCCCACCAATGAAATTACAGAAAATAAAAAAATTATCCATTCACAATTGGCCCCCACCCACGGGGCTGTGGCGAGAAGGGAAGGGAGTGACACGTCCGTGGCCCGCATGTTCTGGCATGTGGGCAGGCACAGAGCTGCCTGCAGAAGTGTGGCAAGTCTCCAACCCCAGGTGACCTGTCGGGGAGCCCGCCATGACCCATCCCACGTGCTACAGCCCACATGTCCCGGATCCCCCGCTCTGAACAGTGCACCCACAGCGGCCAGGCCCACCCACGGGAGCAGGGGGGAGGCAGCAGGAGAGGCTTAGCAGGGGGTGCATGAGGACCCTGTCCTCCTCACTGTGGGACCTGAGCCTTCTGGGGGCCAGGGAGACGCCACAATACGGGGCAAGTGCCTAAGCTTGAAGGGCGACCTTCATTCCCTGAATTTGGGAACAAGTTACTCAAGTCACCACTGTGACTCTCCAGGCATCGAAGGAGCCTAAGAACTGTGAGACAGGAGGCGGGGGTACAGGGGAGGCCGAGAGTCCCAGCATTGGTCCGTCCCTCCAAAGAGCCTCAGAGAGAAGTGGCCAGACCACAACCGGAACCGAAAGCCATTCAAATAGCCTCATAATTAGTAATTTTGTGGGAAACTGCCCAAATTTATGTTCAAATGCTTCGCTCAAAGGGCCTGGGTTCCTGGCAACCTGGTAATCACATGATTTAATTGACAGTGGAGCGAAATGACAGCTCTCCTCTGAGCCTTTCTGCTACGATAAACTCGGCAAGGAAACAGCTTAAGGAGAAACAGCCATCTGGGGACCAAGCAGAATAATGAGGCCTCGGCTTCCTTTTATAGAGCCACTGCTTGGAACTGATTCAGCGTTTACTCTATATCTGTGGCTTCTTCTGCAAGCTGCCGCAGAATTCCATCGAGACGTCAGTGGGAGAGGCATAATTTGATATTCAAGAAGAAACACGCCGTCTCTTCATTACTGGGATTAAAAGGAAAAAAAAATAGAGGACTACAACAGCTTGTGAGATTTTGCAAAGGGACTCTCTGGGTATGCAAGTGATTCTACCTCACCATCACCGGGCAGCAGGCCCCAAACCTCTCTGTGTTTCCCTGACCGCTGTCTGGTGGCGGTCGTTTACTGGTGTGTGTGGATTGCGTGGCACTTCCCGAGGACAGTTATGGGACATACAGACACTTGGAGTGTCTGGGCAGCCAAGAGCTGGCATAAAGTGTGGCCGTGTCATATACACAACCACACACACACGACTGGGGGTGCTGGGGGACGCAGCTCACAAAGATTTGACACTTGAAACTTGCAGGGGAAAGGAGAGTCAAACCAAGTGCAGCCATGGGGACAAATACTTTGGTCCCCCAGAAGGAAAATTCTAGAAGGAGAGGAGGGTGAGTTCCACTGTCCCTTCACCATCAGTCAGCCCGACTGACAGGCACTTGGGGCAGGTTTTGCATAAGTTGCCCAATTTTTCTATGAGTTTGATCTTATTTATGCATGAGAGTAAACTCTATGAACATCAAGTCTGTGTCCTTTGTGCAAAAGGATCCTAAAGCGTGTTGCTTGGCTTGTACGGGTTTCTGTAGCCACCACGGCCCTCTGATAGGCGAGACTGTTCCAAGCAGGGGGAGATGGAGTCGTCAATGATCAGACGTGAGTGGCCGTGCACATGTCACTGGGACCCTCTGCCATTGCCTGACCGGCAACGTTGGGCCAAAGCAGCTGGACCCCCAGGCAAGATCCCTCCCCAGGGATGCCTGTCCAGGCACTTCAGACCATCAGCCACCAGGCAAGGGCCCTGAAGACCCCTGTGTACATCACAATGTCCACCATGAGCTCCTGTATGCAGCAGGGAGGAGCAGACTGGAGGACCATCCCGGGTACTGGCCCAGGTGAGCGGGAGTGGTCACAGGCTGAGCCTTGGTGCAGAGTGTCAGTGCACTGGCTGAGAAGTCTGCAGACACAGAATGGGCAGAACAGGCACCTCCTGCCACCAAGGGCTCAGTAACCCCCCCAGGCTTTCCTCTCTGTGCTCGGAGCAGAATGAGAGCCGCATGCTGGCCACTGAACTTGCCCTCGGACACTGGGCCCTCCTGCAGCTGAGGGGGAGGGGGCGTACCTGCACGGGATCAATGGCCATCTCCTGGAGTCCAGCACGGAATGGCCATGCTCTGACAGTGACCCGTGTCACCACGAAGGCTTTTTCTGGTTTGCTGTATTTAATGAAAAGCAGCAGAGTCTGCAAGACTATTCTCAAAGGGGGAAGTTCTCATGGAAAGCAATTCACCAAGTAGGCACTGAACCTAAGGAATAAACTGCACCCACAGCACCCAAACTGCCACTGCTTCGCTCCTCCTCCTTGCGCGATGCAGTATCCAAACTGCCACTGCTGCTCTCCTCCTCGCATAATGCGGTCTCACAGGTTCATCTGTACTGGGCTGGACTCTAGACGTGAATGAAACACCAGGGCTTGGGGAGGGAGGACACTGGGACAATGGGGGGGGTGGACACTGGGGAAGTGGACACTGAGGAGAGTGTGGACTCAAGGGAGGTATGAACACTGGGGAGAGTGTGGACAATTGTGAGGAGTGGACACTCGGGGTAGCACTGGGGAGGGCGTGGACACTCTGGGGAGAGTGTTTTGGGATGGTGTCATGCACAGGGGGAGTGGACACTGGGGGGAGTGGACACTGAGGAGAGTGTGGACACTGGAGAGGGTATAGACACAGGGGAGGGTGTGGACACTGGGGAGTGGACACGGGGTGGACACTAGGGGTGGACACTGGGG